TTCCTGCACTGCAGGTTCTTTTGCAGGAGCCTCTGGGCTAAATGAGCACAAGAAGAGAGCAGTGAGCACAGTGGCTCAGCCTTCCATGGCTATAGAAGAGGAACTTAATTCCTTCCTGGGGACTTTTCATCAGAATCTTGGGAACATTCTGAGGTGCCTCATTAATGCACCTGGACATCCAGAATTAGCCTCCTTTTCTCATTTCTAAAATGGGTGGGATGTCTTAGGACTCATAGGTTTTGTTCATACATAGACTTCTATTCAACCTCTCTATTGAGGTGATCTGAGCATGCTAGTATTTCTAAGTTTCCCTTGTGAAATGTAAGTTTTAATAAGAGAATCCCTTTTCTGCAGGGGCCCTCCTGTGAGCCCATTACCACTAGCCTCTGCGGACTAATTGGAGTGTGGGCTTTGCTTCAGCCCGAAAACCTCCTGAGAAGCCACATGCAGGACACCAATTCAATATACACCTGCAGTCTTACCACATTCTCAGAAGTCAGGCAGCAGAGAGACTGGTAGAGGTCTGTACAGGAAGCACAGTGCAGGCTGATGGGCCTCACAGCCTGAAGAAGCCTAAGGAGCTGTCCTTCTGGATAGATACCCCAGGCACAGCCTCTCCACCTTGGACTTCTCCAGGGCTAAACCCTCTACCCTATAGGCACCAAAGCTGAGAAGGGGAGTTCTTACCTAAGCAGCCCAGTGGGAATTGGTCACCTGTGGATTCAGGTCCTGGCCCTATGCAAGGGCCTCACTCAACCCTAGTTTACAGTGCCAAAGAGGTCGGAAATGAGTGGATTGAGAGCTTAGGGTCACTGAGGATGAAATGGGGGCTCCATGCCAAGCAGTTAGCTGTGGCCTTGGCCCCATGAAGACCTGCTGTAGAGGCTGTGGTAATTCTGATGGATGATCTTCCATCCCACCCAGTGACCAACACTTGGTGGATGCAGTTCTGTTCATCAGAAAGGAGATCACAGAGTCACTCTGCGACAGGAAATCTTGAGAATGGCAAATTGTCCATGGCTGTCAGACAGATAGGAAGAGCAGATAGGTATTACCAACCCACAATCGTATATGAAGACACACTGTGTGCAAGCACGTTTCTGGGTATTAACCAAGATTCTGTAAGCAGAGCCAGTGGAACCACTGCCCTTTTGAGTTTTGATGTTTGTGGGAGGCCACAGAGTAACCCTTGGCAGCAGAACAGACATTGCTCACCTCAAAGCCATTGTTCCAGTCTCCAGGCCTCCCTAGTTGTGGATACAAACCATGCACAAGGAGTTATACAAAGTTAGGCAAAGAGAACTGGGCAATGCATCACTGCCTGAGCTAGAGACTGCAAAGACGCAGGACAGACACTGATTGATCCCTCACATCTCAGATATTCATGGAGTGGCAGCCCTGAGCCTTTGAGCGCAAAGACAGGGCATATTGCAGTTTCTACCTTCTCCAAGCTGACTTTCACTGGGGAGGGGCAGGGAGATACTGTGTCAGGATTCCCTGAAGAATGTAGATGCATGATAAAACTAAGCAAGGTCTCCCTCCCACTGAGACTTCTTTCAGCGACTAAGGGCTCCTTGGGCCCTCACTGCCCAATTGTGGGTGGGTGAGGATGGGGCTGGACATTGTATCAACTGGTCAGGATGTCCATGACTCCTCTCTAAACGTGAGTTGTGCAGGCATTGTGGGAGGAAAGCCCAGGTCTCTCACTCTGCTGGCTCCCTGTCTGCCCCAGTTCTTCTGTGCTTGAGGCCACATTGGAAGTATACGCCCATCTGGATCCCCAGGCTGAGCTTCTCCTGGACTAGCTGGAGTCCCAGAGACTGAGCCACAGGGTAACTATCCCTGGAGTGTAGGATGTAGGGTTGTGGGGAGGTGATGGCCTTGCAACTCAGCAAAGTACCCTGCTGGGTGACCCAGGAGTATGACACACTCAGCAGTTGGTGTGGGGATGCAGTCAGGAGGCTTTCCTTGGGCTGTGTTGTTGCACAAGGCTGCCTCTGACAGGCAGTGGGAAGGTTTTGCCCAGGAAGTCCATGGAAAGTTGGCAATCTTTTCATTTCCTGCAACTATAGGGCCAGGCTCAGCCCATGCAGAAGTTGCACCTGCAGACCTTGTGACAGCTCTACCTGCAGCTCTCTAACCAGCTGTGATCCCAGAGCAAGAGCCAGTACCTGGACTCCTTTGTCCAGCAGCTGAAGTTCTGAGCCTCCTGAGGGCTGCACTCAGGAGTCATCTGTCAAGCTCTAACTGCAGGCAGCTCTTGACCCACACCTGCCATTCCCCTCTCTTCCGGATTTACTTACTATTGTTTTCACAGCTACACTTATTTACCAGAGATACATTAGTGATAGAACAAACATAGGTAAATTTTAAGATTTTAGGGTTGTTTAAAATAATCAGCTTGCTGACATTCATTGCATTCTCATTGTTGAGCAAATTTCCCCAAGTCCACTTCTAGAATATATTCTTCAAATATTTACACAATGGTGTTTTCTTTTCTTTCCCCTCTTGCCCCATCCCCGCCACCACTGATTGTATGTCCTCATATTTAACCTATATTGCAATTCCCACATCAATGCCATAAAGTTTTCTTTGGCCAGGAATGTTGGTAGTGACTATCTTGGGTTAGAGTTAGGTTTAGAGGTATGTTAGACTTAGGGTTAGGGTTGGACTAAGCTCCCAATTATTGCATCATTATCGACTGTATTTGTCATAAAGAATGGACAATTGAGACAAAGCAGTGCCTTATGCTGGCAATAGCTTGGCCCTGAGCTGTGTGCTGAATGCACAAAACTTTGAGAGCAGTCACTGGTGGCTGGATTGTACCACTGTGCAAAATATAAGGCCCAATATGCACTCTGTGCACCACATGTGCCCTGGCCCTAACACCAACATAATCAGTATACACTGTAAATATGTAGTAAGAAAAAATATGCAGTTATCTGTAAACAAAACACAAAGCAAGAAAATCCACTTCTGACATGTGGGGAAAAAAAGAGCTACTAATGAAAAATCTCACCCAGGAAATGCACGCTCTCCTTGGCCAGCAATGTTTCCTTTGTGCAAATGCAAATCTGTAGAACAAAGCATCAGCTGTCCTCAGTCTACGTCCTTGCTAATGGAATTTTTGTGGCTAATCCTCCTATCATAGGAACATGCACTTTTATACTTTTCTCTATCCAAAACCTAATAGAGACACATAGAAGACTCACTGTGTGCTGGGTACCAGAGCTCTCCAGATGCAGATCACACTTGGGGAGACAATGAAACTCACACTGCCAATAGCTGGTGATGACTAAGTCATGGACAGAAGGTGAAAACCAAACACAGGCAGATCTTCTGCAGGAACACTCAGTCTGGCTCCCAAGTCCTGTATTTGTAACTCTCCTTAGACCCCTAATTTCTATCAAAGTGATCAAAACTGCTGTCTCCTCTCTGGCCTCAGGATACAGGCTCAGAAGTGGGTCTAACAGTGACAGCTGGAGGTGCCCTGGCCCCTCTGTAACCGCTGTCTTGGAGAAAGACTCTGGTCTTCCTCCACCTTCCTCCCTTGCCTCTCTCACTACATTTCAAAGGCTGAGCTGCTGCCCAGCTGTCTGGGTGGAGATGCTCAGCAGGGCCTTCAACATAGTTTTATCAGCATAGTTTTATATGTGACACACTGTGTCACATACACACAGCTTTCCAGTAAATGGTCTTGAGATAGAAAGATGTAGTAAAAAGTGACAGCTAACTGGAATGAACCCTGCTTTATACACAAAGGCCCCACATCAATGTGGTGGGGGAGGAAATATATTAGGTTCTTGCCCCACTCCGTGGCCACTCAAAACTCAGCTGTCCCATTGCTGATTACACTGATTCCTGCCCCACCCCACCACACTAGGCTAAATCCTCACCTACACCAAGACCAGAAAACTAGGTGTTTGGTTCTGGAGCCAATAGGCAGGAAAGTGGGAACACAGTGGTGCCTGGCAACTAGATGGCCAGACAGAAAAAAGAGATGACAGTGGCCATGACCATCTTACCTGAGGGTCAGTCACTGATACAGAGGCATATTATGCACAGGTGAGCCTTGGGCCATCTCCTTTCCAGGTACTCTCCACTCTTGAAGGACCCAGAGACATACAAATAGCAGGGTGATGACACTGTCATGCCTTTATAACATGGTCATTTGGTTTGGGACAGAACAGAGATGGATGGTAACAGTTGGGAAGAATTTATCCCCAGACACTGTTGCACTGGGGCACCCTTATTTCCCTTCCTTCCAATGTGTGGTCCAGATTTCAGGGCCCTGCTTCTATGTGTGGTGCACATAGCCTTTGTTCCCTAGCCAGATCCAATTCTGCCCATCCCACAGGAGCCATTTCAAAGTTACTGTTTCTACTTGGATTGTGCCAGACAGAAGCATCTGCATTTGTCTCCCCACATATCCAGATATTCATGCATCACATGGTAACCCACAGATTAAGTCAGCTCCTTAGATGCTCCACAGATAGGGATTTCCAGACTGACCTTGAGACCTCAATTCTGAGCACCATGTTCTGAGGAGAACTTCTAGAGCTGAGAGCTAAAATTAGGGGCTCTTCAGTCATAAGCCCTGGACCAAGTGCAACACAGGCTGGACCCAACTTGTCCTATGTGATAACCAATCAGCCATACTTGTGGGAACAGGATTCTCTCTCAGACAGAATGGGATGGGAGGGGCACAAAACAGCCCCTAGGCCAGCCAGCTTTGTACTTTTAGGAGGAGAATGGAATATAGCAGGAGGAAGGAGGGGTGCCTGAGGAATGAGGGAATGGAAGATGGAATAACAGTAGAAAAAGGCCCTGAGTTACTCATTGAGGGACTGATTTTGTTACCTACTATACTTTTTTTTTTCATTTGTTTATCGATACCAGGTATCGAACTCAGGACCACACACTTGCAAGGCAGGCGCTTATGCCGCTGAGCTAAATCCCCAGCCTCCACCCACCATACCTTTTGGGTGACAGCAGACAACAGTGACACTTGATGTTGGGAAGCTACACATACACTGCCTCCTCCTGTGATTCCATTCAAAGGTCCAGGGAAGATTGGAGTGGGCAGTGGGGGCCCTGTGTAGACAAAGGTTTGTAGCGGAATGACAAAGACAGCGTGAGAGGATGTCCTGGGCATGTGGTAGTGGTAAACACTCTGTGTTGCTCAATGTGGCTACTTGACACAGCCAGGGTCCAAATGCCTCCCTGACCCAACACCCTCAGGCATGGATCTCCATAGCTCATTCAAGAGTGCCCCCCTGGGGTCCACACACATCAGAGAAGGGCTGCCCAAATCTATGGGTACCATAGCATCTGCTCCTGCCCTTGTTTTGTGCTCTCCCTCATGGCACTCAACTACAACATGATGCCACATTTTAAGAACATGGCTTGAAGAGTACTTGGAGGGAGTCATGTTCAGAAGGGTTTGTGCTGGGGAAGGGATCTCCCTGCCAGCATTAGTGCTGTGCCTGATTTTAACACATCATGACACATAGGAAAAGTGACTCCCCATGGGTTCAGAGATCAAGGGAGACTAAGATATGCTGGTAAGTAGCTCCACTGTGTGAGAGTGGGGCCTACAGAAACTATTGTCCTCAGCCTCCAGCCTGGGACTGACTCACCTCAGACCATGGTCCGGGCAGTCTGTTCAAGAACTACATGTCTGCTGCTTGGGGAGCTGCGTTCCAGGTCCACGTCAGAACATTTGAGACCTTTCATGCCCTGTGGGGTACAGAAAAGGAATGGAAGTGGGGAAAATGTCCATCACAGGGATTAGGAAGTGATCACCATGGCACAGGTATATAACTTGTTGTCCTTTCTAAAGCTGTACCCCAACAGAGATTTTGGCTTTAGGATATGATGCATGGCTTGGAACAAGGCACAGAGACTTTAGTTTTGTGGGGCATTAAAGTGCCCTATGTCTGCAGCATGAAATTTTCTCAGAGTTAGGGAGGTGAATTGGTATTTTAGTGGGTAAGATCCCCAGAGAGAAGAAACCACATGGAGCCAACATTAGCAACAGCAGTAAGCAAGCATCTTTATTATCCAGCCTGTATATATCAGCCGTCATCAGGCATTAAATTCTTGCATAGTGTCACAAGCCTGAGCACATCCATGGCTGTCTATGTTAACTCATGCTTATATAACTATGTCCATGGTGTGCACATGCTAATTGGTTGGGTCAGATCCCATAGGTCCTCATACCTTTTGGTGTTGAAGCAGTGTGCAGTGGTTTCTCACATTTCACCACCTCAAATATCAGGGAAATTGTGTTTATTGTAAGTGACCTATAGGGTGGACTCATGCACACAAAGAGCATGACAACAATAAATGTAAAAAATAATACCACTAATCATGCCACAGTTCAGCTTATGGCCACCCAGAGCCAGGTGGATCCCAAGGACTCCCACCACTGCATGAGCAGGTCCTGTTGCAAGGCATCAAGGACACAAAACTCCATGTCCATTTCTTTTAAATTTTTTAAATTTAAAGATAGAAAATAAAATTAAAAGAAACAAAATACAAAAAAGCAAAGAAGTGTAGAATATAGAATTCAAAAAAATTAACTCCTAAAATTACTAGTTGATACATTACATATTCTCATCTTAAAAACAGTTGTTAAAGTTACAAAAACAAAGCATAAAAAGTCACTAAATACTGAAACATTGATGGGCAAACCCTTCCTTTCAGTGATCTAACAGAAATTTAGTAATATGGTCATCTATCTTTCATACTATACATATCATTATATCATTTAGAGCCCGTTTCTTTGCTTTTGCTTTTACAATATATACTATACTTTTTTGGATCCCAATTCATTGTCAGTTTTTTATTATTTTTTACACTAGAGACACAATGAGAGAGGATATTCTCAAGTTACTTTCATTTACTTATAAAGGCCTCAAATCATCCTTTTCTATAGCTGAGTAGTATTCCATTGTGAAAAAATACAATTTTTTCATCCACTTGTGGTTGACGGCATTTTGTTGTTTCCAAGATTTAGCTATCACAACTGTGTTGCACATATCATTGCACATATATCACTGTGAAATATTTTTTTTCAAATTTCTGGGAAAATACCCAGAAGGGGAATAGCTGGATTGAATGGAACATCAAATCTTAGTTTTTTGAGGAATTTCCACACTAATTTGCACACTGCTTTTATCAGTCTGCATTCCCACCAACAGTGGACATGTGTTCCTTTTTCCTTTCATGCTGCCAAAATTTGTTTCAGTTTATTTCTTGATGTCAGTCATTCTTTCCAGAGTAAGATGAAATCTTAGTGCTGTCTTAATTTGCATTTATCAAATCACCAATGATGGTGAACATTTCTTTATGCATTTATTTGCCATTTATATATCTTCATCTGAGAACTGTGTACTTACCTCTGATGCCCATTTTTGGAAACAATCTTTGAATTTGAGGGCTTGACATTTTTCAATTTTTTATATGTTCTGCATACAAGTCCTTTGTCATCTATCCAGATTCTTTCTGACTCTGTGGGGGTTTTTTGACTTTATTTGATTTCTGTTTATGTACAAAAATTTTTAGTAATATGAGATCCAAGATGTTGATTCTTTGAAGTATTTTCCATGTGGTTGTATTTTATTAATGAATTCTCTGCCTATTTCTATGTCTCCAAAATTTCTATCTACCATGTCTTCCAGTAGATTTTTGTTTCTTTTTCAATATTCAGATACTTGAACCACTTTGACTGTAGTTTAGTGTATGGTGATAGGTATGGGTCTAGTTTCAGTCTTTAGCATGTAATGTCAATTTTTCTAACACCATTTTTAAAAGAGGCTATCTTTTTCCAGTGAACATTTTTAGCCCCTTTGACAAATTTAAGGTGGCTCTGTGTCTTTGTAGTAGTGTTTTCATCTTCTAATCGGTTCTATTGATCCTCAGGTCTATTACTTTGCCAGTACCATGCTGATTTTATTATTGTGGCTTTGTAGTATAATTTCAAGTCAGGAATTGAGATGTCTTGTCTTTCTGTTGATGCCCAGAAATGCTTTTGTTATTCTAGAATTCTTCTGTTAACAGATGAATTTCAGAATTATTTTCTCTAGATATGAAGTATGTTAATGATATTTTGATTTGGATTGCATTGAAATGTATAACAGTTTTGTAAGTATGGCCATTTTCACAATAGTGGCTCTTCCTAACCAAGAGCAAGAAATATCCTTCCATTTTCCAATTTCCTCTTGAATCGCCATTTTCAGAGTTGTATAATTTTCAGCATATAGGTGTTTTACAATTTTAGTTAGGTTGATTCCTAAGTATTTCATTTTTTTAGATGCTATTGTGAAAGCTGATATTTCATAATTTTTCTCTCATGGAGTGTTTTGTTTGTGTACAGGGATGTTATTGATTTGTGAGTGTTGACTTTCTATCCAGCTATGCTGCTGAATTTGTTTGTTGCCTCTAGTAGTCTTTCAATTGAGATTTTGGGGTCTTCTATGTAGAGTATCATGTTGTCGGCAAATAATGATAATTTAACTTCTTTCCCTATTTTTATTCCTTTTATTTCTCCCTCTTGTCTGATTGCTCTGGCTAATATTTCCAGAACTCTATTGGCTAGGAGTGGTAGTGGACATCATTGTCTTGATTCCTGTTTTTAGTGTGAAGGCTTTCAGTTTTTGTCTATTTAGTATAACATTGGCTGTAGGTTTGCAATAAATGGTCTTTAGACTTTGAGGTACATATCGTCTATTCTGAGTTGCTGTAGGGTTTTTATCATGAACAGGTGTGGTATGTTATCAATAGCTTTTTCTGCATGCATTGCACTGATTAGGGGATTTTTATTTTTGGCTCTGTTGATGTGGTGTATCACATTCATTGATTTGTGCATATTGAACCATCCCTGCATTCCTGGAATAAATCCTACTTGGTTATGTTGTATAATCTTCTTGATGATTTGTGGCATTCTATTTGCCTATATTGTATTGAGAATTTTGCATCGTTGTTCATTAGTGAAATTAGTCTATAGTTCTGTTATTTAGTTTGATCTCTCTCTGGTTTTGGAATCAGAATGACACTTGGTTCTAAGAATGAGTTAGGGAGGACTAATTCTCTTTCAATTTCATTGAAGAGTTTAAGGAGTGTTGCAGTCAGATCTCTGAATTTCTTATGGAATTCATCCCTGAATCCAGCAGGATCTGGGCTTTTATTGTTGGTTAAGTTTTTAATCACATTTTTTATTAATGCAGCTGATATTTGGTTACTCAAAATTGTTATATATTTTGATTGGTCATTGATAGTTCATATTTCTACAAATCTATTTTCTCTGTTTTGCACCGTATGTGAGTAGAGATTTTCAAGGAAGGTGTTCATGATGTTTTGAATTTCCATGGGATCTACAGTAATTTTTCTCTTTTCAGTCCATATTGTGTGGATTTTTTTTTCTTGATAAGCTTGGCTAGAGGTTTATCAATTTTATTTTCTCAAAAAAAACAGCTCTTTGATTCATTAATTCTTTGTAAATATTTTGGTTTCAATTTCATTAAGTTCTGCTCTAATCTTTATAATTTCCACTCTTCTATGAACTTTGGGTTTGACTTGCTCTTCCTTTTCTAGAAGCTTGAGATATAGCATTAGGTTTTTTATTTGTGTTCATTCCATTTTCTTGATGTGACTACTTATTACTATATATTTCCCACTTAGGACTGCTTTCATTGTGTCCCATAGGTTGTGGTATGTTGTTTATGCATTTTCATTGTATTATAGACATTGTTTTATTTCTTCTTTAATTTCATCTGTAATCCACTGGTTGTTCAGGATTGTTATTTAATTTCCATGTATTTATGCAGGTTTTTCCAGGATTTTTGCCATTAATTTCCAATTTTAGTGCAATATGGTCCCGTAATATGCATGAGAAAATTTCGCTCCACTTACATTTACTTAAAAAATGTTTTATGGGATAATGTGTGGTCTATTTTGTAGACTATCCCATGTGCAGCTGAGAAGAATGTATGTTCTGATATGGTTGGGTGGAATACTATGTAAACATCCACTAAGTCAATCCATGCACAGGTATCATTTAGTTATGTCATTTCTTTGCTGACTTTTTGTCTAAGTTGATCTATCTCTTTGTGACAGTGGGTTGTTAAGGTCTCCTATTACAATTGTGTTCTTGTGTGTTTAGCTTTTCATGCCCATTACAATTTGTCTAACATAGTTGGGTCCTCCTGTATTTGGTGCATATATATTTATAATTGTTAGTTCTTCCTCTTGTAGTTATACATGTAAAAGTTTGTAGTGGCCTTCATATCTCTTTTAATCATTTTATGTTTGAACTTCACATTGTCTGCAAACTGAATAGCTACTCCTGCTCTTTCCTGGGTTCCTGGTTAATGGAAACTCATTTCCATGCTGTGACATTTAATTTGAGTTTCTTTTTGAGTCAGATGTGTTTCTTGTATAAAACATACTCTGGGATGCTATTTCTTGATGTATTCTGTCAAACTGTTTCTTTTAATAGGTGAATTGAGCCCATTTACTTTTATGGATATCACTAATATATACTGCTTTGACTTTGCTATGTTGTGTTCCTGTTGTTGGTTACCTGCTTTTTCTCCATTATTTAATTTCTTGTCCAGCCTGGTGGTTTTTTTCTGTTGTTCTGGAGATTGTGGTCATTTTTACCCATATCTTGCATGTCTTTCAGTATTCTTTGTAGGGTTGGTTTGATGGACATGAATTGATTCAGTTGTACTTTG